AAATGGCTTAAAGGCACGTAATAACAACACTAAACTATTCTCCCCAGCATGTTAAAGGAGCATAAATCTATGAATTTGGCCACCAAAACAGTAATCATAAGAAAAGTGGAGGCTGGTAAAAGAAAAAATAATCCCTTCAAGAAACCTTCATGTGGTCTCTGTTGTTGTTACTAACTGCTGTCAAGTCAGCTTTGACTTACAGCAATCCTATGATTTTTTAAAAATTGCTTAAACATGTTGAACTGCTCTTCTGTTTTGTGGTACCATAACCTACCCCTAATCTTTCTGTGTTATTTTTACCTCTGCTACCAAAATTTTTGTTAAAGAGATTTCCTAGGTGATTTTGACCTCCAACTCAAAATTACAAAAGGCAACTAGATATATAGCCAGACAGAAACTATCTCTGGCTCAAATGTTGCACCTAGATTGCATTGTGCTAGTCATCTTTGCAACATCAAATTTTCCACCAGACTCTTTGTGATAAGGTGTTCTCATCCAGCACTAAAGAAACTCTATTCTCTACAGTGTATGAAATATGAAGCCATGCTTTTTAGCTCTGTTTATAGCATTCCTGAGTCTTGTTATTTCCTTGATGGCCCCAGACAGCATGTGCTAGCCAGAAAGAGTTCTATTCCAAGAGTCCACTCCCCCAGGATCAGAGATATCTCATCCTAGATAGCGAGCAAAAGAGCAGAACAAGTTCTACATTTATGGGCTACACCTTGGGTCACAAAATCTGCCAAAGGGATGGGGAAAACACATTCAAGCAGGAATGCAAAGCTAATTGGGGAAGAACAGTCATTTAAGGACTATGGGCTATGGATGTTAGCATGCCACAAGAGATCTCCTAGTGTGCTACAAAAAACCCAAACTGTTAATTTAATCATCAAGTGCTCCTTTTGATCCCAAATACCTATGCACTGGGGAGTCTGCTGTGTATGCTTGCATATTTGACTGCTCTGGTCTTGCTACTTTCTAAGCAGAGTCTGCCAGGCATAGGTCTGTACTAGGAGTAATTGAGTCATTAAATAATTCCCGTGCCGAGACAAAACAGATCAGAAGAAGGAGGGAGGGGAGTCCAAAACAGTAACAGAAAAACAAGAGGATGGCCTTTTCTCAAGACAGGTTCTATACTTGATCATAGGAGATTTACTTGGAAACAAGAGTGGAAATGAGCTCTTTTTCATCATGTCTCTAATCATACATATACAATTTTTAAACTGAATACTAACTTTCCTGTTCTCTACTCACCCTCTACATGCCTCCAGGGCAGCTGTATTGTTGTAGAGAATGGCAGGCAAGTTACTATCAGCACAGATTCCCACTATATTAAGATTTTAGCATGCCCCAGAATAAAGTTACCAGATCTCAGGACCTGGCCCTGACTCTCCGGTCCTCAGAGTGAAAGGAGGACTCTCAGGGTGAGAGTGATACCTTGAAAAGTATGTGTAGCTGTATTTTCCTCATTCTTTAGGCTAGAGAGTTTACCACACTTGGCTCGTAAGGCACCACAATCACATTAGTCTAGGAAATGCAAATATACCAAGTTGGGGACCGTCATTAATGCACAGCATCACCATGCTGCTGCTTCTGTCCCAGCATCAGTCTTCTTCACACCTGTCTCTACAGCCCCACCTCCCTGCCCTGGGCCCTTCCCAGCATGCCTTTCGGTCTGTATTTATTTTTATTATTAGTGCAATTACACAATCAAAGCAATCCATTAAATAAAAGAAGAAAAGAAAAGAAACCGAAAAAAGAGCAGAATCAAACCCACTTGCACCACATACACGAACAGTGATTGGGAGGCATTGATGGGTATTGCCTATCAATAAGAAGGAGCACTCCGGCAATGGATAGACTACAGAACAGCTACTGGACAGAGATGGCATTGTGCGATAAGGTACAGCCACAGAGACTACTATCCTGCTGTAATTCTACTTTTCAGGCTTTGTGTGTTAAAGTCCTTAGTGTCATTGACTTAAAGAATATATTTTGTGCCACCTTGATTGATTCATAATGTACCATGCCTAATGACACCACCAGGGACCACTCCTTGTAATGTCACCAGGGCTCATCCTTTGTCGCTTCACAGGGGATTATTCTTAGATCTCAGGGTTTGGCCCTGAAATCTCAGGGCCTGGGATAGTACTGACCCTATGCTCTATGATTGGGTAGTATAAATGTATACATACAGTTAAGTGATGGTTGTGCTACTCCATTTTTCTGAATGCTAGCACTGTGCAACTGACTGTGTGCCTGGCAATGTGCTTGGGGTTTTTTTGCCCCACTATGCTTTGGGAAATGTGTAGGGAATGTTTCTGTGATCTCAGTGAATCGAGTAGGCCCTTGGTATCCACTGGATTTTGGTTCCAGGAGACACCTCCCCCCCACCATAGATACCAAAATCCATGGATGCTCAAGTCCAATTCTGTACAATGGCATAGTAAAATGATGTCCCTTATAAAGAATGGGAAAACCAAGGCTTGTTTTTGATTATATGTGAATGAATATATATACATATACATATACATATATATATATATATATATATATATATATATATATATATATATAATATTTTCAAGCCATGGATACTTCAATCAGTAGATAGAAAGTCCATGCATATAGAGAGGTGACTGTACACTGAAGACACTAACAAATCATTCATTATTCAAGAATATACAGCTGTTTTTGCAATGGTTACATTTGCCCAACATTTTGGGGGGGTGGGAGGATCTATTCCTAAAAATTAAGATACAGTAGCAAAAATGAATATCAATACACTGATTCGTCTCATCCCCATTTGTCTACATATCATGTTCCCTATGTGAAGAGGGCTAATCTTTGCCATGTTTGTGTCAGATTCATTCCTTGATCCAGGCTGTTGTTGCTGGTGTTAAGTGTCTTGGAGTTGATTTCAATACTTCAATATATAACTATGGTGACAAGGGAGATTATTGCACTGCCTTTCCTCACAGTCTAAGCATGGGCTGAAACTTTTGGAAAGTTTTTAAAAGCAGGTGTTATCACACACCTCTGTGCCCAGTCCAGAGGCATCGTGTACCCGATCTTGCCATCCCATATCTCATCTGTACTTCTCTGGTACTTTTTGAAAGAATGAGAGTTTCCCATTTTTTGCAAAGTACAAATACACAATGCTTCCAGACAGGGCATGGAGGTGTGCCATAACACCCGTTTTTTAAAAGTTTTCAAAAGTTTCAGCCCGTGCTGAGGTTGGGAGGAAAGGCAGTGCAATAATCTCCAAGGTTGCTATATGTGCAAAAATGGAAAGACATAAAAATTCCAACACAAGAGGGCTGGTTAATGAAATTGTCTGATTTTGCCAAAATGGATAAATTTACTATTTTAATAAGAGGAAAAATCACTGAGTAATTTTTGGAAAGATTGGGATTCTTTAATTGCCTTTTTGCAAGAGAAAGAAGGTAAATTGTCAACAATGAGTTCTGAAAATTAGTAGGAGCCAGCATGGTGTAGTGGTTTGAGTGTTGAACTACGACTCTGGAGATCAGGATTCAATTCCCTGGTCAGTAATGGAAACCCACTGGGTGACAATTGGGCACACACTATCAGCTATAGAAAACCCCACAATAGGGCTGCCATAAGTTGGAAATGACTTGAAGGTGCACAGCAACAACAACAGGAGCAAATAGGTAGTAGACATATAAGATATTTTGAAAGAAGAGGGGGCAAGAGTTTATAACATATATAAGAAAGTTGACAGTCAGTGTTTCACTCTTTTATTTTCCTCTTTCTTTCTTTCTTTCTTTCTTTCTTTCTTTCTTTCTTTCTTTCTTTTTCTATTGGCTTTCTTTAACTTTTTGTTGTTCTATATTTTCTGTTCTTTCATCTATTGTAGTTGTAGTTTTATTATACTGGAAATCGTTTGCAATAAAAATGTATATTAAAAAAAACTCTCGGGACACTGACCCTTTGAGCCCTGGCTCCACTACCCACTAGTTAAGAGCTGGTTTTGCTCAATGAGAATTTAGGAAAATAGAAAAATAGAAATTGAGTGACTTAGGTGGTGTGTTACTGAATGACCTTGCAGTTCATAAAAAGGGCAGTTCAAAGGCTCCCAAAGTTTATAAGTCGGAACCATCACTCCGTAGTGTGTTAAGTAATTTAAACTTTATGAGGAGCGCAATGATGTATTTAAACACCAGGCTTGTAAGAAAATTGTGTAAGCAGACAATTATCCAAAGAGGCTGTTGGTTTTGGCAGAGTTATTAGCCAATTAGTACGGGGCTGTTGCTTTTTCCTTGCTTTTGTTTTATTGTCTTTTTTTTACTTCCAAGCGCTTCAGTGGGTTTAGAGACAGATTTCACAGAACAGCAAACAAAGCACCCAGAATACAATGTATTCACCCAAATTTTGAGAGTAGCTTCTAGTCTCCCTTCTGTTTTCTTCCCTGTCAGAAGGAAAAGGCAATTAGGGTTTTCAGTCTGGACAAGTTAGCACCCGGAGTCAAGAGGCCAAGCTCCATGAGAGCACTGTTCTCTCCAAGGCCAGGGAAGGGATGTGAATGTGCAAAACTGTGGTGAGAATAATTAACATCAAGGGAAAATCCTTATGCGCCAAAGGGCCAAAGTGTTCCTATTTCCCATTTATTTTCCCTGATACTTTTTCTTTACCTAAAATAGCTCCTATTTCACCATTTGAGATAGATGATTTTGAGAATGTTGGTTTTTAAACAACCTGCTGGCTTTCTCTTGAATTAGACTTATGAATGTGTAAGCTAAACCTAGGCATTTGTAACTATTTAGTATTCATGTATACAATCATGTCACTATTGCCCCCATGGCAAATGCCCCCATTGTTGTTGTTGTTATGTGCCTTCAAGTGGTTTTCAACATATGGTGACACTAAAGCAAACCTATCATAGGGTTTTCTTGGCAAAGTTCTTCAGGCCAACTTTGCCATTGCCATCCTTTGAGGCTGGAAGAATGTGACATGCCCAAAGTAACCTAATAGATATGCATGGCCAGTCTGGGATTCGAACCCTGGCCTCCAGAGTCATAATCCAATGCTCAAACCACTATACCATGCTGGCTTTCATTGCCCCCATTCCACCCACCCCCTCCTGAAAAAAACTACCTTAACGATTGCTCTGCAGAGGGGCGGGGTATAATAAATATTATTATTATTATTATTATTATTATTATTATTATTATTATTGTTATTATTATTATTAACAGCCAGCAGCTGCACCAAGCAATAGAGGTCTGCAGGTTGATGTTTTCAGTCACCCTCTGCCAGTGAGCTACAACGGGAAAAGGAATTATGACAGGAGTACTGCTTCTGGTTGTCATACTCAGAACTCACTGGTATGAAAGGACAGAAAACATCATCCTGCAACCTCCCAGCTCTCAAGTGGTGCTGGCTGTTCAAGAAAGTTTGAGGAGTTGTGTCAAGAGATTATATGTGGTTACACATTTGTAACTACAGTACTCCCTCCACATTTGCAGGTTAAGCATTCATTGATTTGATTATTCGTTCATTACTGTATTTGTAGCCCCTCTGCTGTTGCCCTGTGCCATTTTTAATAGCGATTTCAATAACACTGGTGTTGCTGGGAGGAAATCAAACTGTCGTGTGGCTGGGTCCGGCCACAAATGCATTCCCTCACTCATTGGC